GGGGGGGGGGGGGGGGGGGGGGGGGTTGGAGGTGAGAAAGAAGAGGCCATATTTAGAACAAACTTCTGGTAAGATTCCAAAAAAAAAGCAAAAAGCTACAGATTGAAAATGTCCACACTTACAATTTACACCCAAGCTATTTCCAAGAACACCTGAAGTAGCTTATGTGTTAGAATACCATAAAAAGTCAAAAGGAAAAGCTGCTAATTAGATACCCAGATAGAGCTACAGAATGAGCACTGAATTTGGTTTAAGTGACCTGATAGCTAAGAGAAGAGTGGTGTTGATATTCAGTGTTTGCTTCCTGGTATGAGTAGATGGGTTCTTAGGGATTCACAGCTGAGTAAGATCTACTCCCTGTCCTTAAGGAACTTACAACTCAGTGGGAAATAACAGTTAACTATGATTTCACAAGACAAACACTACCTTTGAATGAATGCTTTTTATACTTTCCAGAAGGCAGCTAACTCAATGAAGGCTTTTTAATTTTCCTTTTTCTTTTTGGTTTGGGTGATTTGGTAGCAGGAAGTTTAAGAACTCTGCTCTCTGACAGTATATAAACACGAGCAAATGGACAGTCACCAGGTTTGACAGATCCAACTTGAACACCTGATGTCTAAATAAAGGTTTTGGCTTCAAAAATGTATACCTAAACAGATCCTCACCTGTTTGTCCCCTGACCCACTGCCAGCTTCTTTCAACCAGAGATGAGAAAACCATTTCCCCTTCCTGGGGATCAGCGATTCCCTTTACATTTTCTGCAAGAAGGGGTGGTGGCCAAGCAGACAGGTATCTGAGTCCTAATGCCCAAGTGTGTAGAAGCCACTAGGTGTTTGGTAGAGCCACTAGGTGTTTGGTAGAGGTGTTTGGAAAGTGGGGGTGTCCACTACTTTGGCTTTGGGGGTCTTGATCAATCACCATTCCAACTTTTGCAGGGTTAAGCCATCTTCCTTCTCTATCATCCATTACTTCTCAACCCCAAGGAAGAAGGCCTGAGTGGGGGCCGATGTTCGACTACGCACTGCTTGGGGTTCCCTAACACTGTGTGTACTTGTGTATAAAGGATCCCCAGATTCAGCTGCAGCATTTTTTCTACCTTCCCTCTCTCAACAGATTCAGCACCCCTTGAGGGACTAGGTACAATCTCGACTGAGAGTCACAGGTAAGTAATGGGAGCCCCAGGGACATTTTAAGCCTAAATATTAACGATATCTTTTAAGAGAATTTTATTTGTTGTGTACATGACCATAAGGAGCAAATTTTGAAGCTGAACACATACGGGTACTTCAAAAAAGTTCAGGGAAACATTCATTTTATCTTTTATTTCTATTTTTCTATGAACTTTTTGAAGTTCCCTTATATTTCTTTGGTTTACTGGAAAAATAAGAAAATGATTAAACTTAGGAGAGCAAGCTCTCAGATCTATATCTCGCACAGAATGGGTTGTCAAATTTATCTGAAATAGGCTGGCCAATTAGCTCAGTTGGTTAGAGCACAGCCTCAACACAAAGGTCCCAGGTTTGGATCCCCATACTAGCCAGCTGCCAAAAATAAATAATTAATTTAAAAAATTATTTGTGAAATAATTATTAAAATTTTAGAATGTGAAACGACAGGCAACTTTTCTGGCATACAGCAGATATAGGTATAGCTTGCTCCCCTATTTTGTTCAGGACTCTGTTAAAAACTTTCTTCATTCTGAGAGGCCCTCCTTGACCACCCTATTTAAAACAGCACCTCTTCCTCACTCCCACTCTCTAACCCTTCCTACCTTACTTGTTTCTTCAGGGAAACAAGTAAGCATTTATTATTACTCATCTATATCACACATCTGTTTACTGTCTGGCTTCCTCACCTGGCGAGTTAGCACCATGAGGACAGACTTTGTTTTGTTCACTGCTTTAATTCCTGGTGCCTATCATAGAAAATGGCATGTATTAGGCACTCAAACACATGCTGAATAAATATGTGAAAATTTCTTGATTGAAGGAAGAAAGGCAAAAACATATTCTGACATACATATAAGTTTTAAACAATATACCATAAGTATCAAATCATAAAAAGACTAAAAATTAAAGTATCAGGTTCTAAAAAGTACTCCAGAAAAATATCAAAATAAAATTTGGGGGTGGGAAGAATGGGGAGATGATGGGCAAAGGGTACAAAGCCTCAATTAGACAGGAGAAATAAGTGTTTTTGTTGAGACACTGCACAGCACGGTGAATATAGTAAATAACAATGTATTGTACATTTCAAAATTGCTAAGAGGGGCTGGCCAGTTGCTCAGCCGGTTAGAGCACAGCCTTGTAATACCAAGGTTGAGGGTCTGGTTCCCCATATAGGCCGGCCACCAAAAAAAAAAAAAAAGACATTTCCTGCTTAGTTTCTGAGGCTGTCAAGTCCAAAGTCCATCTGGTGGTGTTGACAGTGACCCAGGGGTCTCACATTGCAAGATGGTGGAAGCAGAGAGAAAGACAGACTCTCCTCTTCTTTTAAAGCCCTCAGAACCACACCCCTGACCACCATTTTTAATCCATTCACTACTGCACAGTCCTACAATCCGATCGCCTCTTCAAGGTTCCACCTTTCAATTACCATAATAGGATTTCCAACCTCTTTAACAGTCACAGTGATGGCCAAGTTTCTCACCATAAAAAATGAAAAGTATTTAATTAGCTTGATTTAATCATGCCACATTGTACTCATAAACTATAACATCACTTTGTATCCCATAAATATATACAACTTTAATTTGCCAATTTATAATTAAAATAGTAAAAATTTTAAAAAGGAATAAAATTCATAAGTAATATTAAGACATTTGTATCTTTAAAACAAATTTTATTTAAACTGTGTTTTTCAAATTATTAAAAACACTACTGGGCTGGCCAGTTAGCTCAGTTGGTTAGATTGTGGTGTTATAACACCAAGGTCAAGGGTTTGGAACTCTGTGCTGCCAGCTGCAAAAAAAAAAAAGTCCTACTAAATAATATGGTGTATTACTTGGTCAACACTATGCCAAGCCAGGGAGGGACCTAGTTGGTGCTGTGTCCACATGACCCAGCCTGCAGCATCTGCTTACCTGCAGGGGCACTAACATTGCCCTCCTACACTCGGTGTCAGGGTGTCAGGACTGTGCAAGACATCACATGTGAGGCATCTGGCATGGTGCCTTGTGAGGGGTCCCCACTCAAATCTCAACTATTATGAATGCTATTAGAAGTAATACAAAGTACTGACATATAACAAAGCAATTTATTTTTTAAAAAGTCTAAACTGACAGGAGTTTGAACGGCTTAATAAACCTTGGTCTAGAGCTCCTGTCAAGATGGTGGAATAGACAGTCCCCAGCATCACTCTCTCCCAGAAATCAACCAATTTACAACTACATAGAAAAACAACAACAGCCAAGCTGGGACTGCTAGAGCTCAGGGGAAGAGGAGGAGAGACCCACAGAGTGCATGAAGGGGGAGAAGCTACGATGAGAGAAAGAAAAAACTGCTCTGACCATTTCCTGCTGCGGCTGCTTCTAGGCTGGAGCTGCTGAGCGCATGGAGCAGGAGCCAGCAAAAGCCACAGCTGTGCCCTTCCAATGGAGGTGCTTAGAGGCAGCAGGGGAGAAGAGGGCCTTGGTGGCCCCCAGGACAGCAAGACCACTAATAGGGTTCCCATGGACCCACATAGGAGCAAGGTACCACAACTGAAAAAACAGAGCCACCCAGAGGCTGGTGAGTCATCACAAGGGACTGGTGCATGGCTGGTCCTGTGGGAAGTGTTTGCAGCATAGGCAGTGGGAGAGATGGGCCCACTGGTGGAACACTGGGGCACAGCAAGGACAGCTGATCTGCAGCCCAGTCAGCATAGGACCACTCAGAGGAGACTGGTCAGGGATACAGAATTGCATGGGGTACAGTTTGATGAAAAGACTCAGGCCCAGATCAGAGTTTCTACACAATCCAGGTTCACCGAGTCTCTGGAGAGCCAGAAATACCTATAAAGTCAACCATTATAACCTGTGCTGCACAAAAACCCTTCCCTATAGAAGCAGAAGAAAAGCAGCAATTTAGCTAAACTACAGACCTCAAGTACTGGTCACAACAGGAAGTCCCCCCACTTTAGAAGCAAAGGATAAAAAAATTAGTTCCAGCTGAGACGCACCATGCCAGTGCCTCGGGTCTGCCTGGGACCAAGGGATGGAGTTGGGAACTAGACCTCCCCCCCCCAACCAGGCACACTGCCAGTGCCAAGGAGTAGGAGCATACCAAAAACATCACCTTCATGTGGGTGGCCCACCACAGCCACCACAATAACCATGGCTGCCGCGAAAGTGGCTAGATGCCAGAATCACCATGCAGATGGTCCACCAGCCAATGGAGTACATTGACACAAGGAGAGTCACCAGCAGAGACAAAGAAAAGAAGAGGATGTCTCTCTCCACAAAGCCCATTCCAGAGTGACAGAAGAGGAATTTGATCTATGATAATACTGGGGGGCCTGATCATACATCTCAGCATTGGACAGATCATCTAGGCAACAAATCAACAGAGTTACCATTTTTCTTTCAGGAGAGAAGAAATCTAGGGTAATTAGAGGGGGGAGGGGATGAGGTTGGACAAGGGGCATAAAGAATAAATATGATTTGTAACAATAAATATGCTAATAATATTGATTTGATCAACATATCTCAACGTTGAACCCCCAAAATATATATAATCAATTTTGATTCAATAAAAATTAAAAAATAATAATAAAAAAAGAAATCTTGGTCTCATTACTTCTTAAGATAAATTCATAAGAGGTAGTAAAACAACATACAGAGCCTGTGGAAATAACCAAGTTATTTTAATTTTCCTTGCTTTCTTAAAGGAGGGA